GGGGGGGGGGGGGGGGGGGGGGTACTTCAGACTTTCGGGAGGGGGGGCGCTATGCCAGTTGCCAGTGGCAAAGGCGTAGCTTAGGGGTGGCAGATGGGACATACGTCCCAGGGCGCCAGACTTGCTGTGGGGGGGGGGGGTCAAAATGGGCTTTGGTGGAATTAATTGGTTGAAAATGATGGGTTTCAGAGTTTAAGGGGAGGGGGCGTTAAAATGAATCTTGTCCCCTGACGCCATACACTGTAGATACTAGTAGCGTCGAAATAGGGCGGATTGAGTGGTCCACCCAGGTGTCACTTTGTTCTTTATATGCTGGTGTGACATTTTTGGACAAATGCAATTTGAATCGTGAAAGGGAGGACGGCAAAAATATTTGGCCGCTCATGGCAGCACTAATAGTAGCTGCGTCACTAGGCCGTGTAGGCCTATCTATCGATACCAAAATCGGCGATCATTTTCATCGAGAAGTAAGGCGGAAATTGATGGGGCCGATTAACTTTGATCGGTGGAGAGGTTTGGGGAGCCCTCTCCCTAGAAAATTTTTGATTATTTCAAAATCAAGAGGTGTATTTTTGAGTATACTTGAATCCGATATTTTCATTATACCTTTTCAACAGGGAATAACAGTTTTAATGTTTTGTGGGAGGAATTATTTAGCCCAGTGCCTTATACAAACTGCATTCACTCCGTTTGTGGCGTGCCCCAGGGTAATCATTAGGCATAAGCTTATAATCAACCCAATACTGTACCATTGGACATCGTAAGAGAAAGGCTGCATTTAAGGGTGCTAAAGACAATCGTACAAACTCAAAATTTAGGGGTGCATTATTTTGGCGCATACTTGAATTTGTTGTTTCTTACAGACAATTTTGAGGTGGCATTTCAAACTTTCGTGTGGGAAATGGAAAAATTACTTATAATTATAATGCTTAGATTACCTTTTCTAAATATTTCATAATTTTCCCAGAGTCAAAAATAAATATAAAACAGGTTTATTTGAAAGGTCTATACATTTTTATGGGTTTTGAAAACTGGTCATTTTTTTAAAAATTACGTATGAACGGTATAACTATTTTAAGACGACATGAGTAGGTTACAGACGATATTAATATTATATTTACTAATGTGTGATTTTATCTAAGGGAAATTCGGTTGCAAATAAAGTGTAATTTTCTCAATATTCAATAGAATGAAATTTTTATTTGGAATTTTGAAACTACTATAACTTTCTTAACTTGCATCTTTGCTATACTTTAAAATATTTTTAATAAAATCCACAGAATCTATGCTAAATTGACGAATTAGGAATAAGAATTTTATATTTAAACACGTACCAAAAAATGTAATTGGCATGATATTCGAATAAATGCTAGTTAAAAAAAACACCATTTTTCTTAGCTCTACTGGATTCTCATCTAAAATAAAATTAATAATATTTTTAAAAAATGAGTGTAATGGCAATGGATTGGGCACTTTGTTTGTTATTCTGACATTAAAAAGAGAAAAACAGTTTGGAAATTAATAACAATAAATGAAATAGTCTAAGTATTTAAAATAAGAAGGGGGAAAAAAAACACAATCTGTTAAACTGTTGTTCAGGAAACTTTGTAACAAAGGTAGCACTATTAAAGAGGAAAAAAAAAAACACTTTTGATTTGATAATAATTTATGAAACGTGCACTATTTCTTTGCGCCCTTTAAATTATAAATTAGAAGAAAAGCATGATGTCTAATTATTTTAGTCATGATTTTACGATTAACTATAATTAATTTAAAACAGATTTCACATGTTTACTGTTTAATACTTGACTAACTATAATTAAAATTGTAGATTTTTGTAGGAATGTAAATGTATTTTGACACAGTGTCATTATAGTGCTTAAAATTGTGAAGTTGCAAATAATTAAAAAAAAATTAAAATAACAATATATGCGAACAATAGAAAGTAAGATTGGAGCGGTCAATGTGATTTTTATAACCGAATACAATAACTTGTTTAGCCTGCCTTAAATATACGCCAATACGGATCATCAAAAATATCGAGCCTAGCGATATTTCATAGATTCCACTAGATCTAATAGTGATCGGTTAATGACACCAGGTAATATTATATTTAAAACTGTTTTAAAAATTACAATTTAGTATTTTTTTAAATAAAATATACTTTGTTTTATTGTTGTATCGTACATATTTTTGCTCGAGGGGTGGGGGGAGGGGGGTGGCAGTGCCCCCGCGGAGATATAGCTGAAAGAAACCCTGATAATCACTGATAAGCCGCACCCTCATCCTACGCTATTGACACATTGACTCAAATCAATGTGGATCCCATATTAATTATTATTATTATTATAATTATTATATATATATGTATATATATATATGTATATATATTTATAAATATATATATATATATTTATAAATATATATATGTATGTATATATATATATGTATATATATTTATAAATATATATATATATATATATATATAAATATATATATATATATATATATATATATATGTGTGTGTGTGTATATACACACATATATATACATATATCATACAGATACAGTGGTTCTAAAAGTGGGGGTGGTGGGAAAGCTTGGGGGGGGGCGCTAAAAGGCTTTGGAGATTTACGTAGCGCTGGTACTCCGAAAGGGAACGCTTGAGTTTTACATAAAAAATATATTTTTAATTTTTTTCTATTTTAAAGAAATTTTTTTTTTAAAAAGTCTGAATCAAATAATACAGCATGTCCTACAATGGTTTCACATGCAACCAGAAAATATAGAAGTCTTAATGCAATTTTTAAATAGAAGTACAAGCTGTTACTAGAAACAGCACATATATACTTAGCTAGGCGCTGTGACCTGAAATTTTTGTTATTTTTTGAATAATTCAAATGTAGGTTATTCAAAAAGGTGTTGTGAATACTTTTAAGTATTTTTTGCAATGCCTCTCATCGAAACCCAGATTACAAGCAGAATGTAGCTACTATTATAGCGCAGTGTAGCTGCCATTACAAGCGCAATGTAGCTACCATTACAACTTATTACAAGCACAATGTAGCTACCATTACAACTTATTACAAGCACAATGTAGCTACCATTACAAGCACAACGTAGCTACTAAGCTACGCGTCAAAGGAATGTCACCTTAAATTCTAACTTTCTATATCCTTATTTATTTTTCTGAGTCCTCACTGTAATTTAGGTCATTGATTATTATGGCTAAGATAGTATGTTATGTTCATAGTTTTACACAATACAACACACACAAAATCCGTGTAGACCTAGTGTTGGGTACACCTACTAGTTATGTGTAAAACTGAGATCATATAGAACTTTCTGTATTTATTTTTGCATAGATCAGTGGTCCTCAAATTTTTTGCCATCAGGGATCGTTTTTTTGTGGAAAAGACATTTTTCTTCCACAGAATCTAGAAGTTCTTCATATTTTGTAGCCACCAATCTGTTTCAGGCTTCTTTTTGATAGCTTTTGTTTTCTTTCTCCAAGACATTTTCATGTCTTCCAAAGAGTTAAGCTAAAAGTTTTCTCTAGGCAAAAAACAGCAATATTTGCAAATTCTTAACAAAGCTTTCCCAGCCATCACCATGGATGATCAATAAAATGGTGCCTTAAACTGCATAGATTTCATCACTTTGTAAATAACCAAAATTAGCTACTTTATTAATTTTTTCATCCCAGAAAATTGACTGGTTCAAGAGTCAGTACAACCTATTGCCTCCAGATGTTTCAATAGTGGCATCTGTGTAAATAAAATTGGCCTGCAGCTCAGAATTTCCATGACAGTGATTGACAACATCAAGTTTGAGATTTGACTCAAAGTCAGTTGACACAAGTCAGACGTAGGCAGTTATGACTTTTTATAACTGCATATCTTGGGGTTGACAGGCCCATGAGAGTTACATCATTACGTCCCTTAATACAAAAAGCTAGCACCACTAAGCAAAATATTACATGGATGTTTTTAGTGCTAAGTAAATAAACATTGACAAATAAAGTAAAATCACATATCATGGTTACAGTTTTATTCTTTGCTGATCATGAATTTGACAGCGCCACCATTTTAGCTCATAAGTCATAATCCTTATAATGTTATCAGAAGTGAGTGACGGATGTTGTAAACACGTACACACACACATTAGATAAATCAATAAAAGAAAGATGTCTCCATACCATCGTAACCTTTTTATTCATACATTCAAATAAACTTCAAACTTTTAAAACAGGGAAGAGAGGAATAGGAACAAAGTATTAATAATGTTACAAAATAAATGCAATTATTAAGTAAAATGCATCTAATCCACATTATAAACTAACAAGTTAGGATTATTAGAAAGCATCCAATCCACTTTATCAACTAACAAGTTAGGATGATTAGAA